TGATGTGGCTGCCGATCCAATGTCCGGCGATGGGGAGACAAGTGATCAGTTTGCCAGCGTGGAGAGGAGACAGAATCAGGTTGCTGCGAGGTCAGAGTTTGCTTCTCCTCTTAAACACTGGGAGGTCAAGTAGAGTTTAACTGCCATTGGCAGCTTTGAAATGTTGTCATAAATGCCAAAGCAAGGAGATTATTTTAAATCCATGCTACAACTAAAAATCTTAGGGTAATAAAAGGAAATAGTTTTAACTCAAATTGTCAAGGTGTTAGGTTTACTGGCAAAAGCTTCACAAGACCTCTCATAGTCCCGAGGAGGTGTTCCATGATGTCTGAGGAGAGCAAAATTTTAATTTGTGATTCCTGTTGCAGTTTCAGAAAAGCAACTAAAATTGCGGGGGATTTTGGTTGTGTTTTTTGTTGTTTTTTTTTTTTTTTTAACTTGTGAGTACTTGCAGCAGTTACTGCCACTGTTATCAGAGCAATTTACGCAGCAGGTCATATAGTACTTCTGTATTTCTCCTTTAAGCCGAGTAAAATATGTTGCTGTTGAAGAAACCTGTGATATGTAAGAGAACTTCCTAAATCACAAGTCTAGCATATTTTTATACCAAATAGCTCAAGCCTTGTGGAATCAATAATTAATGTATTAACTGGATATCTTTTGAAAAAACAAAATCAGCAGTCCTTGCTGGACTGCCTACTGCCAATTCATAAATAGTTGATGGCAAAAAATGAAAAGTGTGGAAGTAAAATTCGGATCTTAACGATCAAAGTATCGGGGACCTCATCTATCACACTCGGAATAAATATATCACAGAAAGTGTCATATCTCATTGACACGGCAAGACATAATGCTTTCCCTTGTTATCTAGCTAACTGCCAGCTCTACAAAGTTTATAGGCTGCTAAGATCATGTGCTGGTGGTAATCCACTTCAGCTGCAGAAATATGAAGTACTGTTGAAATATATTTCTACTTGGTTTATTCTTTGCTCTCAAGAGGGTAGGATACTATTTCAGTTCCTCTAAAGAAGCCCAGGGAATGAAAAGCAAAACATCAGGATAAATTATGCTAAATGGTGGACTAGACCCCAGAGGAAATCATGCTTCTGTGGTACAGTATTCCTCCATTTATCTTACAGATGTTACATCTAATGTTAATTTTGTAAAGGGAAAGCATTCAAAGATTCAACTGATCTTTTTAATAATAGTTTTAGTGTTATAGTGTTACTTGTCAGACTCTCGCCATCATAACTTATGTTTCTAGTTTTGACAGACCATTCATACAGAAAATATTTGGGGCTACCAATACATAACATTTTATTTCACAAAACACAAATAACCTAGTAATTAAACTCCAAAACTTAACAAATAATTGCCAGCAAGCAATTACCGTTCAATTAAAGAGTAATTACATGGTTATTTGTGCCCTGTAAAATAAAGCATTACTGAAATCAGTAACGCAATCAATATTTTAGCAGAAACAGGATGCTGCCGTGATGGACCTTTCAACCTCTGCTGATTAAATTGTCATCCAAAGAACAGTTTCCTAGTTAAATCACCACATGTTTATTTGTCTTGATTAATATGCAAATTCACTTCTGATTCTAGTAAATCTCCTATATTTAAAAGCACAAAAGTAGGGTGCTATCATACATCAACAGTGATGTGCTGTACGTTTCCACTGATTAATTACATTTTACAAAGTGTTAATGAATTTGTGGGTTTTATGAAATATAGTTGTCTTTAACCGAGCATACAACAGATTTATAAAAGATGGAGCTGATCGGTAATTGCAACAAAATCACAAAAATAGCCTCATTCTATGTTTTGATTCAAGTGAAGAATCCTTGGGATGTCTAGGGGGTAGATAAAACAGAGGAAAAATAATAAAATTAGCTCTCAACAGGAGTGGAAAATAAAGGAAAAACAGGCATTAATGAAGAATTTCTCAAGATTTTGCTATATAAATTTGAACTGTCAGATATACTGCTTAAAATGTAATCTAGTCTCTGACTAATTTAATTCCACACAGAACTCAAAAATGAGCAACATTCAGATGAGTTCGTTTTTCCCTTTCAGAGCCGCGTGATTTTGCGAGGGTGAGGTGGAGAGGGTGCCAAGAAGGACTTGATGTCCGTAGTGGAAGCACAGGTGAAAAACCAAAACCTCCAGTCGCCTTCCCTGTCAGGTGATTGATGACCTAAGGGCTGGTTGGTTTTGGTTTTGAGAGATACTTTAATTGGTGTAGACTTTGAGCTGGCCAATTTATTTACACTTTAGTAAAAAGAATAAGATTACTAAGTGTATTAATGAGAAATGGTATTGTACTTAGGCTTTAGTCTCCATGGTCTTCACTTGTGACCCATCTCTTGTACTTTAAAAGAGATATTTGTAAACTAGCAGTTTCTGACTGAAGTAACATCTAGTGTAGAATTGAGTCATTTTCCATTCACAAAGTTCTATTGCTGGCAAAGACAAAATCTATGCAGAGTTTTAGAAGCTCAAAGAAACATGCTTAAAATTGTTTGAAGCTGATCGTTCCTGTTTATGCTTCCTTTGTTATCAATGAGGAAAAGATTTTTCTACACTTCTTGAATATATAACTTTCTTGAATGAGATAAAGATGAAGAGGAAAATGCAATAAAAGAGCAAAGTGACAAAAGATTAGGAGAAATAATATTAAATAAAGTTAGTATTTATCTGCTAATGCTATTAGCATTATATGCCAATACTTGCATAATCACAAATGATGTTTTACTCTCCCCAAATGATAATTCTGCTTGCCTTATGTTTTCTTTTCAAGGCATGTATCAGCAGTTTTCTCTGAATTGTGAAGGCTAGATATGTTTTAAATGGTAAACGTGAAATTTGTTGAAGTTCTAGACTTCGTACGATGACAGGAAGCATGCTAGGTACTGGGAGTGTTGGGACAGACCGGTGAGATTTCACTGCTTGGCGATGCCGGCTGTAGCCCTGACAGCAGCATATTCACGCCGTAAAGTAAATCCCATCAAAATTTTGAATGTACTAATGTTTTTGTTTCCTTTGTGTAGATCTTTTTAAAACAATAAATTTTAGAGCAAACATTTGTGTCCTGTTTCTGTGAAATTACTGGTTTCATGTTTGATCAAAAATGCCAGAAAATTTGTTTCTGGCTGAAATGGGACTGAAAGTGTTGTGATTCAGATACACCCCGAGGTGCTTTCTGCACGTTCTGGTGTGCTCCCAAGCACAAGAACTTGTGTCATGATGGGGGACATGGTCTGTGGTCATCTCCAGGCAACCTGGCTGGAGGTGCGAGGTACCTGCGGCGGACCCGACAGTAGCGTAGGGGAGTGCTGGGTGGCTCTTCGCTTGACTTCCTCGGTGCAGAACCAGACATCCGGCGTTGGAGGTGTTCTCATGTGAACTGCAGAACACAGCGTTGAAGACCCAAAGGGTTCTTTCCCAGGAGCTGTAGGAGTGACAGCCAGTCCACGCTAGGTAGCATCCAGCCTGGAGTTTTTCGTTTAAAAGCTCCCATGAAGTTAGAGACAGAGGACTTTGATTTTATTTGAACAGGTTCAACTGGGAACAATTCCATTCAGATTTTGATGGCTGCAGTTGTACAAGCAAGACCAGGTTCTGGCCCCTAGTATCTACTGCTGTATGGTAATAGTCGCTAAGAAGGCGTGAGTAGGTCAGAAGAGTGCCTTATTTTTTTTTTTCTTTGGAGTCTATCAAGCCCCTTCCCCAAAAGGACCACAATCCCAAAGACACCAAAACCCAGAGAAGACAGTGCTGTGTATTCCTGTTGTAGCCTTACTCGTGTAAGTAGGCAGGCTGTAAATGCAGTCAGGCGGGGCTCTGAAAGGAGCCGAGTACGTTTGGGTGGGAACTTCTCTTTCATCAGCTCCTAAAACTGTTTTTTTAAACCTGGGCGTTCTGTACAGGTCGGTGCATAACCACAGACTGGAGAGTGTCGCTTCTGCTGGTGGTATGTGCTGGGAGAGACCTGAAGATGGCATCTGGCAAACCTGCGGGCTGCGAGTTGTCCCCTCCGAGTCAGCAGAACGGCTGACGGAAGCGGTTCTCATAACCAGGAGTGCAACGCCGCTGTCTCGGCTCCTCTCCCTCTGAAAACTCAAATCAGAAATAACATGGCTCTTCATAAAATCTTTTAAAAATGTTTAATTTTTTAAATGTTTTCCTTTAGATTACTATCAACATACGGAGTTTTGTGCAAAAGATTTGTTAGTGTTTGAGCTTGAGAAGAGAAAGTTTTGTATTTCTGTTGATGGAGCTCTTCTGCTGGAGAAAGCTGCTAATTGTAGCTATTCGGTAATTTTTTTTTGGAGACAGTAAGTGCCAACTAAGCATGTACGCATGCGTGTGTGTAAGCACAGACTTCTGTAAATCAACAGAGCAACAATTCTTTTTTTTGGTTAAACCCCCCCCATACCAGCCTAATCCTGTCTGTCAGACAATGTTCTTGCACCCTGCATGATTTCAGCGGGTGAGTTTGAACAGAGAGTGCATGTGTGCATCGGACTTCCCGTGGAACTCAAATACCCTTATTTTAGGTTTACTTTATTACAGCGCGGTGAGTCTGGGCTCTCGTAGTAGGCTGTACTACGCAGCCATCATAGCAGGACGAACAACCTAAAGCATAAAAAAGAAAAACCAAAAAAGTACTGAATAAAATGAAATACAAAATGGACAAACCCGAAGCTAAGAAGAGGGGGGAATAGTTGTATAGAGATAAAATAAGAAACCAAAAAAATGATTTTGTGCTACTTTGATGTACAATAAAGCAAAATAACACCAGCACACAGTGAAAAATGAACAGGTTAATGGTACCTCTGTGTAGTGTTGCTGGAAGTTGTCTTCATTTAAACGCAGAGTTTGTCTTACGTTGATGGAGGGCTTTGCCACTGTGAGTTGACAGAGTGAAGTTTAACTTAAATGCCTTTGTGAACTAGAAGTCGTTTTGGAAATGCTTTCTATTCAAACCTCATTCGTTGTCGCAGCTTAGTTATTTTATACAGTGTTTCGCTGTATTTTGTCAAAAGCTCTATTATTCACCGGAGTAATACTCGTTTTGACCAAAGAGAAGCAAGAGCAATACTGTTCCAAACACGAGGAAGTTGCTTTTTTTTATTAGCTGGCTTGGGGAGGAGTTGGTTCAAGTGGCTTTTCGGTGTGTAAATCTCTGTATCATGACGGCAGCTGTGTAGGATGATTTGATGTATGCACACTGATGTAAGGGATAAAGGCGGCAGCTGAAAACAACAGTTAAATGGAACAGGTCTGTAAACAGACCTTTAACATTTTGGATTAAAAACTGGAGTCATAATTCATAAGCTGATCAAGGGACGGTGAGATTTTTGGCAGATTGGGCTAACGTTCTTGATTTAACCTGTCTGTAATAATGAAAACCACTAGCCAGTCTGTAACGGTAAGGAGTCAGTTTTGGAAACGCTCCGTGTTAAGTGACTGCTGCATCTTCAGCAGCAGGCGGTTGTCTGCCGAGATGCAGAAGGCGAGGTTTAAGGCGATGTTGCGTTCAAGGCTTCAGCTTCTCATCTCTAGGCAGCACAGCTTGCAGTGCTCTGTGGGGCAGGTGGGTGCCATG